AAAAAAAAAAAGAGGAAATGCGCGGCCAGCTGCGTCAGCGTTCACACGCCCCCTCTCGCCCTTTGCCTCGCCTCTATCCTGGCCGTTGCTTGTCGGAGGGGCCGCACCTGAGCTCGCCTTCCTCACGCTCTCACGCGCTTGCTCCTCCCACTTGCTGGTGGTGTGAATCCCAGCAGTGCCACTTGAGCGCTCAAGCAGCCCTGCCCTGCGCAGCCCAGACCAGCCCAGCCCCCATCTCCCCGTGGCAACCGTACGCACTTACGGTACCGCGCCCGTCCATTGCAACCTGGCTATCCCCGGCCCCCGCCCAGCACATGACCCTCCGCCTCTCAGTCGACAGTCAGTCACTGCAGTCAGCCTAGAACCGACGCACTTTGGCACCCTCGCTTGCCTGTCGCCCAACACGGCGCAGTCAACCAACGAATCTCCGCTCCGCCTTCTGCCAGCATCCTCCTCCTCCTCGTCGCCTTGGCCGATGCTGCTGAAGCCCTTGTTCGCCATCCGCACCTGCTCTCCATCGTCAGTCGACGCCACCACCACCACCATCATCCACCACCCTCTCATCGCGCATTTCGGCGGTTCCGACATCGACGTCGACACCAGTGCTCGCGTGCACTCCCACTCGGCACTTCTTCATCCTGGGCCTGCCCTGCTGCGCTTCTCCTCATCCGCCACTGCACGCACATCCAGCCGCAAAAAGTGTCTGCACGATTGGCTTGCCTCGCATCGCGCTTCATCGCCCAGCGGCCGCTCCAGCATCTAGCATAGCCTAGCTTCTTGGCACCTGCCCAAGCAGACACTCGCCACAGCTCTCGCACTCGCACTCGTGCCGCTCTTCCTTCCATCGACACAGGGAGACTGGTCTAAATCTTCACACGCTCGACTCTCCATATCCACGCTCCCCATCGCATGCACGGATGACCACTTGCAGCTTCTGATCGCTGCAGCTACCCAACTTCAATTGGCTGGATTCATAGGTCCCGGTGGGACTTCTTTCACACCTCAGCCAACGGACTCTCACCCCACACACCACCCTATTCGCGCCCCTCCAGCACCACTCACGCTTCACCATGGAGCACACATCTGCTTCCACACTACACGGCGACGATCGTTGGACCGCACATCGTGCCGACGCAGACGGCGCCGCCGCCGCTAGCGCCGCTTCGACCCCCGCTCCTACCACTCCCGCCACACCACCCGCCGACGACCTCTCTTCTTCCCAAGAGCTGCCTCGTGCCGCGTCATCAGCATCACCTTCCAATGGCCTCGGCATTGATGCCGAAGACGAAGATGTCCGCATCGCCATCATGGCTCTCGGCGCAATGAAGAGTCTCGACGGCTCCTCCAACGGTTTCGGCGCTCACAGCACCAGCAGCAGCGCAATCTCGCTCCCAGACGCACACAAGCGCTCGAGCAAATGTAAGTTTTCGCACACAGAGCCTCTGCCACCACACATGCCGAGGCTACAGCTGACCAACACCACATCGCCTTTGTCGTCTACAGCACCAGCACGCACGTCTTCGGCCATCTCCAATTCCAGCGTCGCCTCCACAGCAATCTCCTCGCCCTCCTCGACGCCCACCACCGACCTCACACAGGATTCGGGCGCAGACTCCCCCGCAGGCCGCATGGCCGGTCCCGCTCGTCTCGGCGACTTGCCACCAGATCTAAAGCTTCCCGCCGTCATCCAGGACGAAGACGGCAACGAGCTCGAGGTCGACCCAGAAATGATGAACGACGCCGACTTTCTGAGGCGCGTTAGCCACCTCCCGCTCGTCCGCGGTACTCTCCGCGCGTACGAGCTCGGCAAGCAGCGCAGCAAGGTCGTCAAGTACGGCGCAGGCCTCGTGGAGAGCTCGGTCAAGTCCATCTCCCGCCCCGTCGTCAGCCGTCTCGGCGCCAGCCTCGGCGAGCGCGGCGTAGAGCAGCTCGACGATTTCGCCTGCCGACAGCTCGACCGCCTCTATCCCACCGCCGTCGCATCGCCCACAAAGGAAGAAAAGCGCACCATCCTCGACGAGGTCGAACGCAAGGACCAAGAGGAGTGGCAAAACATGAGCACAGAGGAGCGCGAGAAGCGCCGAAAAGCGTATACCGCGCTCCAGCTCGAAGAGCGCGAACGCAACCTCATGGCCAACGAGCTTCGCCAGCGCCGCGGCAAAGGCACCGACCTCGAGATCGAAACCGCTCATTCCTCAGCCATTGCCTCGGGCAGCGCCAGCCACGCCTCGAGCGGCAAGCAAAGGGCCCAAGACGACACTCCCATGGGCGACGCCGCTGGCGATGCTGCCGACGAGAGCAAGGCAAAGGACGCGCGTAGCGGCGTCGTAGTTCGCGCCAACGCAGCCCAGTCGTTGCCGTTCAAGAACAGCCGATGGGGCTCGATGCTCGTCGAAGCAGGCGCCACCGCAGGCGGTCTGTCCGCCGCCATGAGCGAAGAGTCGATGAAGTCGCTCAAATACTGCCTCCAGTGGCTTCAGTACGCCACTGCACACATCGAGCATCAAATCACCATCCTGCGCGACCTCATCGTCCGCCTCAACCACGGCGAACTCGACATGTCCGGCACCGCCGTGCAGAACCTCACGCACATCAAGGGCGACGTTGTCAACACCATCCGTGGCGTCGTCGATGTGATCGGAAAGTACGCCGGCAGTGCGCTGCCCGAGCCGGCGCGCAACAGCGTCAAGGCGTTCATCCTCAGTCTGCCCGCGCGCTGGGCTACAGTCAACCGCAGCTCCGCCGCCGGATCGCCCACGGGTTACTTTGGCAGCAGCCCCTCGTCGCCCTCCTTCTCGCCGGCGCACATCAGCGAGGGCCCGCAGTCGCCCACGCACCTTTCGGCGAGCGCACGCTACCGCAGCGGCGCCGGGGGCCCTCGCGAGCAGATGCAGGTGGCAGCCACGGCGCAGGCGGCCAACCGCATCTTGACGCTCGCCATCGAGTCGCTCGACATCCTGCGCAGCGTCACCGTCGTGTTTGGCGAGTCGCTCGACCGCGCCGACCTGTGGGTGGAGCGTCTGCGCATCCTGGGTCTGCAGCGCAAGCGAGCGCACGAGGCGCAAGCATCCGAGCCGCCGCAGATCGGTCCGGCACCCGGCTCGTCGTCCTCGTTGGGGGCGCCGCAGCACTGGGAGAGCGCGCGCGGCTCGTCGATGCGCAGCAGCCGCGCCACCTCGCCCGGCGGCGACAGCGACGTGAGCATGGACACGAGCGCCTCCACCAAGCGCCGACGCACGCGCCAGACGGCCTCGGGCGGATTCCACATGTCGAGGACGCCCTCGGCCGCCGCGTCGCAGGGCGAGGTTTCCGAGGACGACGAGGCGCTGACCGAGACGGAAAAGTCGAAATCGCCCTTGTTGGGTGGGGCCGCGACGTTCTCGGCGGGCAGTGCACCGGCGGGCAATGGCAGTACGCCGCACCACCACCACGCACACCGACGGCCGGGCACGCGCTCGCGCGCTGGCACGGGAGGCAAGCACTACCCCATGCACCCGCCCACGCTTCCGTCGCCGCTGCATGCCACGTTTGCCAACAGCCACAGCTCAAGGCCCGAGTCCAATGCGTGAGAGCCAGCAAGCATTAGTGGGCTGCGTCGCTTGGTCTTTTTCATTCTTCACACTGGTTTTTTCACTTTCGTTTTACGGCATGGAGCTTGCTTTCTCCAACCAGCTGTACTTGTACCTGTACCGTGCTTGTGTCGCACCTCTCTCAGCAGATTCGTCTTTTGGCATGCACTCGATCAATCGAAATGCTTTTTCTAACCGTGCACATGCGGCGGTGTGAGGATGGATGGGAATAAGTAGGATTTGCAATGCAGAGGGATTGTCGAGGGCGGGGGGGGGGGGGGGGGGGGGGGGGGGGGGGGGGGGGGGGGGGGGTGGGGGGGGGGGGGGGGGGGGGGGGGGGGGGGGGGGAGCTTAAGCGAGGTAGATGTAGGTGTTTCTGTCGGTGGGGGAGCGTTCTAGGTATTCGCGGTCGATGAGGGATTCGATGCGACGTTTGATGTGGGGGATTTGTGGGTGGAAGCGGGATGAGAGTTGGGCGACGGTTTGTTGGATGAGGTCGTTGTGGGTGGATTGTTTGCGGTTCTTCATGATGCGCACGATGCTGGCCTCGATCAGGACGGTGCGTTCTTCATCGATGCGTGCCGATGTGGCTTGACGTTGTTGTGGCGTTTCGACCCTGGCGGCGATCTGTTGGATCTTGAACCGTGCAAGCGGACAGGTGAAGGAGGAGTTGAATGTAAACGTGTCTGTGTTGTTGATGTCTCGAGACTTTGGATGCTTGAGTAGGATCCGGTACTTGCCACATGATAGTGACTGGAGTGTGCGTTCGAGGTCCGAGTCGGAAATCATGGTTCGCTTCGAAATATCCCCATACGACAATGCCACTCCGTCTTCAACATCGCCAAAGAGCAAAAGAACCACGAGGCCAAACGTCGAAACGTTGATCTCATGACTCCTCGCTTTGAAGGCGACCTTGACATCCGCACTACCCAAATTCGCATGCCAAGTAAGCACCCTACCGTTATGCCTACTCGCATAGAACTCTTCAAACCTCCTCCGGGTCTCCATCATCTCCTCGGGCATAACACAGCTCGGTGCCTGTGCCGATATCGGCCAATTGGTGCTCGTCAGCACACTGACCCCCAACCCCATAGGCATCCCCCTATCGGACCTCTTCACCACCCTGCCAAACTCCTCCATCAACTCCTCGCTCGTCTTCATATCGTTCAACATGCCCTGCAGCTTCACCACATAGCCATGTCCACTTTCCACCTTGAGCTTGGCCATCATCCCCCTTTCGGCATCATCCGACACGCTCCTACCTTGTAACAACCTCTTGGCCAGATGCTGCTTGTAGTACCTCTCGAACGTATCCTTTTCGTGAAGGAAGCGGAAGACACTGATGGTCTTGCGCAACACCTCGTCCACCTCTGCCTCACTCTTGCCCTTGAGGCCCTTCTTGAGGTTCTCGTCGATGAAGAGCGAGATGAACTCGGGCGCGCGCTTGTTCGTGTTGATGAACGACTCAAACGCTTCGTTGATCGCCGTCTCGCACCCCGTGTCGTTGGCAAAAGCACCTTCGAGAACCGCGTCGAACTTGTACTTGAACTCCAGCACCTCTTCCACCCATCGAATCGCCGTAGCTGCCTGCGGCGTCGACGCGTCACTCTCCCTCTCCTTGGCCTTGGCCATCTTGGCAGTCGACGATTCGACGGGAGCATCGCTAGACGGCGCACCGGCGGTTTGGCTCGTCACAGCGTCGTTGATGAGCTTACCCTTGGCGGCGATATAGCTCTTGAGGCCGAGTCGGAGCTTATGTGGGCCGTCGGCGACGCGGTGGAAGAGCGTGTACATGCGGCAGAGGTCATCGGTGCGATGCTGGTCGAGCATGCTCACGAGGCCCGAGCCGGGCATGTCGATGATGGTGGCCAAATGGCGCGCAAGGAAGTGCGTCTCGAGCAGCTGCTGCAGCGGCTTGGCCGTCTCGGGCTTGAGGTACACCGACACTCTATCGGCCTCTTCATTGAGCCTTCTTGCGACATGCGCGAGGTACTTTGGCGCATCGCCCGCATCGAGCCATCGATCCGCCTCTGCCGAGTAGAACGCCGCCGAGGTCTGGAGGAACGCCGGCTCAAAGTCGATCGAGTACACCGACGGATCCTCGTCGGGCGGCGCGCCCGGCTTGTGCTGCGTGAGGTCGGCGAGCATGTCCACGTTCGACTTGACGAGCGAGCGGCTGATGGCGGATCCCTCGCGCTCGATCTGGATGTGCGTGAGCAGCGTGCTATAGAGGTAGATCTGGATCGGATACTTGGCGGAGCGGATGACCGAGTCACGGAAGATCTCGAGCCCGAGCCGGTTGATCGAGGGCACCTTGTGTAGCTCGACATAGGCGCGATCAAAGTACTTGAGCACCTCGGAGATCTTGGAGGTGCAGCTGCGATGGTCGAGCCACGTGTCGCGGATGGCGGTCATGAGGCGCTCGCCCGCCTGGATGCGCGCCACGGCATCGGCACGATCGCCCGCCTGAGTGGCAGACATGGTGGCAACAGCAGCCGCCGAAGAAGTGGTGGGGTCGTCATTCTCGACCGCCTTGGCCTTGCCCTTGGCGCTGGTGGACGGAGCGGCCGAGTCCGAGTCGGCGCGAGATTGTGATGCGGAGGTGGCGTGCGACTGGCGCAGCAGCGATTCGGGCAGGATGATGCCTGCCGACACCGAGGCGGCGCCACCGGGCGGGAAGGCGGGGATGATCTTTTCGCGGCAGAGGCGGTCGAGGTGCGCCTGGATCTGCTTCTTGACGCCGCGGTAGAGCATATCGCCCTGGTGGTGGAGCACGAGGTTGTATGCGTAGCGGTAGTGCTCCTCATAGCTGAGCTTGGAGATGTTGTGGTTCTGGATCTGGGAGATGGCGTGTGCGAGGCGCAGCCACATGTCTTCGAACGAGATATCCAGACCGGGCTTCTTGGGTGGCTTTAACTTTGTGCCACGCGTGCCGCCAGGCCTCCTCATGGAGCCTGGAGCATTCATGGTGTCGAGATGCGGGGTGATGCGGCGCGGTGCGGTGCTGAACGAGGACGGATGGGACCGCGACCTGGCCGAGTCAAGGTGTGCGGGTATGGACAAAGGTGTTGTTGAATGGTCCGCAAGAGAGCAAGGAACACGCGCGCCTGTCCAACGCCCACTCTCAAAGGCGATGCTGCACATCCGAGCGGAGAAAAAAGTGCAACTGCAGACGGCGACCTTGCTGACATCTCCACCTGCTCGCTCGAGCCTCGAAAAATGCGGCTCAGCCACGGTGGGACGCGGGCTTGTGCCTTGCCGTGCGAGTCCCGCCGTTCAGGCACGCGTGGTGGCCGGAATTTCGGATCTCGATGTCATGTCGTTGAGCTCTCAAAATCGGCGATGAGAGCTCGATTCGAGGCCAGCGAGAGAGAGAGAGAGGGGAATTTTGCACAATTTCGCGCTCGGACGGTGCGGCAAGAGCATGAAGCTGTCCCGCAGGGTGGAGCGATTGCCAATTCCAGCGAGATTTCGAGCGAGATGCAGCAGCAGCGCCAGACGAGTCTCTCTGTCCCTCTGTCTCTCCCGGCGACGCGATGGAAGTCGACTGGATCCGCAACAGCTGCAGCCAGCTGGGAAGCGAGGGAGCGAGAGTGAGAAAGAGCAGCCGGCGCGGTGCCTGTGGTCGAGCCGGCGTCAGAATCGCAATCCAGCTGCTGCTGTAAACTGTTTGGCTCGATTCAGCGCGCGGCTCCTCCGCTTTGGCTTGCCGCGACACCTCCATCACCATCCTCACACACACACACACTCTCCAACAACCTCCGATCACAATCTTCCTTCTCGGCCTCACCGACAAATCGAAGACCGCGCGCATCTCACGCTCACCACATCGCGCTGCTTCCGAGCACGCTCGCCGCCTCCCCACCGACCAGCCGCATCCAAAGCATACTGCCGCCACGCACGGCATCCTCTATCGCCCCCGACCGTCGTCAGCGCCGTTGAGCTTCAAGCTTGCACCATGGCATCCTCGCTGGATCGTCAGCAGATGCCTCCGCAGATGCCGGGCCCAAAGAGGCACTCCAACCATCCGGATCGCTACGACCATCCACCCATGATGCATCACATGCAGCAAGACCCGTATCAGAACGGTCCAGGTATGTCTATTCTGCCCGCACGTCTTCGCACCTAGCCACCGTTCTGACTCCGACCTTTCCCTTCGACCAACGCCAGGCTACCCGCCGGGCCCTTCGTATCCCTCGCGCATGGATCCGGGCCGTCCGCCAGTGGGGATGCACCATCACGGCCCGCCCTCCCCACCGCCCATGCACCGTGATCCACGCGCCGGCATGGGCCCGCCTCCCAACGCACCGCCTCCGCCGGGCATGATGGGCATGCCTCCCAACGACCGCTATGGCATGCCGCCCTACCGCCCCAGCCCCGGTCCGCATCCGCCGTCGCCATCGTGGCAGAACCAGCAGCTCTACCAGGGTCCTCCACCGCCCGGCGCCTCGTCGCTGCCACCGCACCTCCACCAGCCGGGCTACAACGCCGCGCCGCCTCAGCACCGCCATTCGCCTCACATGGCGCCGCACATGCCGC